CATCTTTTTTGCCATTGCTAGCTACTTTAAGCTCATCAACACTATCAGATGGGTGCATACAAGACAATCTAAGCCGCCCATCCACGCGAGATGCATGGAGAGTGAAGGGTAGCTTTGTGGGTACCTGTGACATTATCAGTCGCCCATCATAGCGGTCTAAGACTATGCGCTTCCCTCTCCATGGCATTGCTGGTGGTAGAGGCGGTCGTGACTCCTTTGCCAACCTTCTCTTCTCATTTATATCTAGAAGATTTGACTCTGGCTCTGAGACCTCATGCGGTAAGATATCCATGGTGACATGACTGCCACCACTTTCAAAACCAAGAACCTCACTGCACATCGCTTGCCGCATCATGGAATGAGGCATCACAAAGCTTGTAAACTTCTCTTCTTTGAAATGAAAAAACTAGAGCTCTTTGCCTCCTAGGATTGTGATTTGAGTTGGAATGTGCTGAGAGGTAAGGTGTGTCTAGCTATATAACAAGGTGTGTGTGGTACTGTTTAGTAACTGACAAATCTTTTCACCAGGTTTGTTAGTATCCAATGGGTAAAGAACGACTCACATTTTCTTCCAAAATTGACGGTGTAGGAGAAGTTGTAGTTTAGTGCAGTTATGCCAACTATAGCTAGTTGTGCTCAACTACCGCTATGTCTACGTTACCTTGGTAGTTCATAGTCATGTGACCTTAGTGTGTATGGCTAGATGAAGTGTCCGCGCAATACAGTGAGGGAGAGTTAGTAGTGCATGCATAGTTAGCGTGCACACACCTCAAATCAACTTGGGTTGAAGTCGATAAACATGGTATTTCAATTTGTGTTTTTTTATAGCTTGATGATTGTTTTGAATGCATTGTGTGGTCTAGGTGCCAATGAGGTAAGTGTATGTTGTGATCAAGATGCCATTCGCTAGCCATTGAGTAGCTTACCTAGCTATGTGATGATTAGCACCTAGCTATGAGAGAGCCGAGTAATGTGAGGATTCTTAGGATATCAGCTAAATCCTAGTGATTAGGATCCAAAGCCCATTCCAAACATTCACACTTAACATATACAAGATTGATCCTTGGATGGTGCAAAATCCCTCTTAAACTTATGCTCAATTAGCTAATTTTTCCTATATTCACGAAAAATATAGCTTTATGATCAAATCCATATGCGACAAATCCTAGAAGATGAGTGTGCTAAATACTATTTAGAGAAGATGGAGGACAGACACATAACAAAAGTTGCACACAATAATTTCAAAAGGATTACTATATATATATGTCATGTTTGGTTGGATGTTACACTTTGTAATGCCATAGTTTCTTAGGTGAGTATTTGGTTCATGCTACACTCTGGCTCACATAGACCCATTGTTTTGCCAAACATTGCCTTGCTAAATAGCCACACTTGTGGCAAATTGAGGATGCCATCCAAATATGCCTTAGAGCCCAATGCTACCACTTTATAGTGAAATAAGCCCTTGATGTTTTAACTCGTGGTGCCCACGAATATTACGCATGCGATGATGTGCTTTCAATAGAAACTTAGTGAGATCTAGTGTAAAGCATGTATTAAATGCATGTTCTCTAACTATAGTTACTATCTATGATCTCCGGTGTTAAGAAGAGCATGTATTGAAGATAAACCCCTTCTTTAAAAAAAACTATCTTTATGCAATTATCCATTGTAACTTCTTTTTCATAAATTCCATATGATGAATATTTTGCAATGGAGTGTTATCCTTTGATTTACTGCATTCACTGATATTGAACATTCCGCATGAGAATTCCTGGATTGAAGTTCCTTTTTTTCAACACCACATTATTCATCACAGAAAATAAATAATTGAAAATTCATCATCTCCTAGATTTAGTTTGGATTCCATCACTATTTTCAATACCGAGAACCCACTGCACATCACTTGCCGCAATCATGGAATGAAGCATCACAAAACCAATAAGCTTCTCTTCTATGGAGCAAGAAAACTAGAGTTCTTTGCTTCCTTTGTTCGGGTTGTGATTAGAGTAGGAATGAGCTGAGAGGTGTGTCTAGCTATATAACAAGGTGCAACTTGTGCCAGTGTGGTACTATTAAGTAGCCAAGATTTCCTTTTGTGTTATCATCCAATGGGTACAGAATAGCTTAACTTTTGTGCTTGCCTACCATTAAGATGGTTGCATGACCCATGGCAATTGATAGTCACGTGAACCTAATGTGTGGGTTGGGATGAAGTGTCCCCACAATATAGTGAGGGAGAGTGGCATACATAATCGTTACTAGTGCATGCATAGGAGCCTGCACTTCAAATTAATGTTGGGTTGGAAGTCTATAAACATTGTATTTCTTAATTAGCTTTTTTAGCTAGTTGTTTTGAATTTATTGTGAGGTTTAGGTGTCAATGTAGCATATGTATGTTTTTTTTACTAGGTAGCAAATGTATGTGGTGGTCAAGATGTCACTAGGTATCCATTGGGCCACTTACGTAGTACCTATCTATGAGCGAGCCAAGTAATGTGAGACTTCTTACGATGTTAGCCCCCAATCCTAATGATTTGGAATCAGAAGTGTCATTTCCAAACAATCATACTTGTCCCCAAAGAGATTAAACCTTAGATATTAATTGTGCACAATCCCTCTTAAACTGACACTCAATTTACCATGCAAGTGTCATTGATACACAATTTACCATACAAGTGTCTTTCACAGTCAATTTTTTCATTCAAGTGTCCTTCATAGTCAACTTTTCATGCAAGTGTCTTTGAACATTTAGAGTTTAAATCATAATCCAACTAGTCTAAATTAGAAAGAAATACAACTTAATTTATGAGAACAATGTGTGTGTGTATCGTATGCCGGAATTTGGAATGAATGGTCATGCAAATATTCACCAACTATGGATGAGGATTTACTAATAGGATTGTTGCATGAAAAAGATGTATCTCTCCTCTTGTGTTGGTGTATTTTAAACTTGTCTTCTCGCTATCATGCATTTGTCAGTACGCCATTACTCATTTGTACTTTGTTGAACATATTATTTCTACTATTACTTCCTCCATTCCAAAAATCTTGACGCTTGGTTTCTAAGCCAAATTAGCTTCATGTTAAAATGACCAAATTACAAATAACTATTTGATTCAATTATCATTTCATTGAGTACTGCACTCAGCATGTTACTACGGAGTACTCTCTCCATCCCAAAATAAGCGCAACCATGAGTTTTCGTATCTAACTTTAATTGTCCGTCTTAATTGATTTTTTTTTGAAAAAACTAAAAACATAAGTCATGCATAAAGTACTATTCATGTTTAAAATAATACATTCTTTCAAAGCTCATTGTCAGACGATTTGATGGAATATAGAAATGGTCACACTTTTCAATCAAACTAGATGAATACCCCATCGTGTTGCTGCGGGGAATTAAGTTACATAATATGTACAAATATGATGCAATATGATTATTAAAACTAAAACAAATTGATACATGAATTTTGATCCTATAAATAATTGAGATTGCATGGTGTTATAAGAGAAGAAAGAAGAGAAAATTTGAACTATAGATCTATCATTCAATGGCTAGAAATAGTTAGAGTGATGCGGCTTAATGAGAGAAGAGAGAAATAGCAATAACTACACTTAGTGAGGATGGATTATATACTTATAAGTATATAGGATTTTCTATAATCCAAAGGCACCTTTTGTGGGACATTAGGAGAGGATTAAAACGACTCATTTTTTTTAGGAAGAGGAAGTATCATACAAAACTCCCGCAGCAATACGTGGGGTTTCATCTTAAAAATTGCAAAGAAGAATTTGAGGAATTTAACTATTTGCAACTTTTAGGTTTGGCAATTATCCAAATGCTCTTATTAGATTTGCACTTAATTTTTTGCCCCTCTAAACCACGTGGTCCCTTAACTATGTCACTTTTACCCACGTGGCATGCCAACGTGGCAAACTTGGGTGAAAAATGTTGTGGGACCTACTCATCAGTCTCTCACTCCCTCTCATCTTCCCCGCGTTCGCAGCCTTCATCGTCGCGGGCTCGCCGCCGCCGCCCCGCCCTTATTCTCCACCACGTGGCCGCTGCTGCCCCATCAATGTCGGCACCGTCCCGCGGCCGACCACCGCCAGGCACTGCCCCACCGACGGCGTGTTGCGGCAGGCGGTGAATCAAAGCGCCAGCACCCACGTGCGCCACCAATTTCCTCCGCCGCTCGCCGCGGGCTTCGCCGCTGCCTCAGTCCCCCCCTCCTCCCCTTCGACGACCCCTGCCCCTGCCCTTTTCCACCCTGTTGCCCTCCACCTCTGTCGCCGTCGCCGAGGTTCTAGCTCCACCGCACGCGCCCGGCAATGGGGGCCCTGGCGTTAGATGCAAGGTGGTGTCGGCGGTGGTCAGCCGCGAGGCGGCACCAACGTCGATGAGGCGGCGGCGGCCGCTCGGTGGAAAAGAGGGGAGGCGGCGGCGAGCCCATGACGATGGGGTTGTGAATGCAGGAGAGAGATGAGTGGGTCTCACAATGTTTTTCACCCGAGTTTGCCACGCTGGCATGCCACATGGACAAAAGTGACAAATAGTTAAGAGACAAGCTCTTTAGAGGGGCAAAAAAAATTAACTGCAAACCTAAAAAGAGCATTTAGATAATTACCAAACCTAAAATGACAAATAGATAAATTCCCCAAAGAATTCCGTCCATTTGGCTGCAGATTGCATTTGGCTGCACTGCCACGTGGCGTGGCGCCATTCGTTGACGCATCAACAAAAAGAGAATAATAAAAAAATTTCTCACGTCCCCAATTTAATGCGGCGCGGAACGCGATAAGCCAGTTGTGAATCTCAACCGTCCATTCGATGCCATTTCAAATTCTCTCCCCTCACCAACGGTCGCGCCCCCGTACCCAGCCACCCACCTTGAATAGCCACTGACTTGCGGGCCCACGTAAAGCGTGGGACCCACATGTCAGTGACACGACCCCGCCGCATAAATCCGCGCCGAAACCCGCATCATTTCAACCACTCGAAAACCCTAGCAAAAAAAAAGCCCAATGGCCAAGAAGAAATCCTCCGCCGCCGCCGCCGCCGCCGCCGCCAACGGCAACGGCCACCACGCCGCCGCCGACGGCATCGTCGTCAACGGCAACGGGTTCCACGCGGAGGCGATGGAGGTGGAGAAGCAGGGGGGCGACCAGAAGGCGGAGAAGCTCAAGGCCCTCAACTCCATCCTCCTCAAGGAGGCAGCGGACCGGCGGGGGCAGGTGGCGGCGCTCACCAGCCGCCTCGACGAGCTCTCCGCGGACGACGCGGCGCTGGCCGCCGCCGAGCGCGCCGTGGCGCAGGCCGCGCTCGCGGCGCCCCTCCGCGCCGCCGCCGACGAGGTCTCCGCGCTCCGCGCCCGCCTCGCCGCCGTCGAGGGCTCCCTCCGGTCCGCCGAATCGAGAGGGGCGTCCGAGGCGGCCGCCAAGGACGAGGCCAACGCGCGCCTCGAGGCCGTCGCCGAGGAGAAGGGCCATGTCCTGAAGCTTCTCCGCGCGAAGGAGGCGGAGGTGGCGTCCGTGTCCCACAAGGTCTCGAAATTGGAGGCCATGGTGGCGCAGCTGGAGAGGAACAACTCCGCGCTGTTCGGTGAGAAGGATGAACTGGCGAAGCAATTGGAGGTCACGAAGGAGGAGATTCGGATGGTGTCAGACCAGAAGGCCGCGGTGGAGAGGAGTTTGGGCGAGCTCAAGAACACGGCGCAGGCGGACCAGATTGAAATGGAGGAGAAAGTGAAGGCGAAAGTGGAGGAATTGAAGGTGTTGGGTGCCAAGAAGGCGGAGATGGATGCGAGGGTGGTGTCTTTGGAGGCGGAGCTCAAAGCTGCTGTGGCTAAGAGAGGGGAATTGGAGGCTGATGCCGTGGCGAAGAAGGGGGAATTCGATATGGTGAAGGGCAAAAACGATAGGCTTCGTTCGGAGGTCGCGACAGCAGTGAAGAAGCATCGCGCATCTGAGGCAGAGGTTGAGAGGCTCTGCGCGGAATTGGGCGTGCTGACAAAGGAGAAGGAGGCAGCTGCCAAGGCGTTTGATGCTGAGAAGGCGGGTATCATGAGGGAATTTGGGGAGCTCAAGCAGAAGGTGGAGGAAATCCAGGCCAGCAAGGGAGCGGCCGAGGAAGCAGGGCGTGAGAAGGACGCTCAAGCTGTTAAGCTCAGAAATGAATTGAAGGAGCTCCATGTCTCCATGTCGCAGCTCCAAGCATCCTGTGATGAGCTCGATACGAAGCGCTCGCTCCTGAATGATGAGAAGAATTCTGTTCAGGAGGCACTGGATGCTGAGAAGGCTGAAGCGTGCAAGCTGAAGTCGAAAATTGAGGCTATTGAGAACTGCAATGTTGAGAAGGACGGTGAGATTGGGAAGCTGAAGGTGGCACTGATGGAAAAGAGGGAGAAGATCGATGTTCTAATCAAGGACATCGAGCAGCTGAATCTCGAAGTGGCTGAGGCACATAGGAAGAGGAAGGGTGGCATTTGGGCTTGGCTATATGCGGCTACGACTACCATGGTGGCTGCCATCTCCTTCATCTATGCCACCAAGTCCCGGTGAAGGACTTACACTTTTCTTTTTGCTATGTTCCGTTTTCTGTTTACATGCTTATCAGTATGCAACTCGATATGATAAGGTTGCTATCTCGCTGAATTACTCTATGATGGTGATTGGCTGCCACTATGCAATGAAGTGAAACTTTTGCTTATGTTCTGATGTGTGTGTGCTGTGTTCTTTGTTCCTGTTCATCTGGGGTGCATTTTATCTTTGAGAGATCGTTTCCGTTGTGTAGTTTACTGGATTGCCTTTGTGGAATTATTAATATACACGCGACAATAAATTGAAGTAGGCTTTTCTCCTTTAATAGCTACTATAGTTACTGTCGTCCACTTGTCCTGCATCCATGTTCGTATGGTAGAATCATCTGAGTGTCGTCAAAGATGGTTTTGTTTCTCATTAGGTAATGCTTAAAGAATAGTTACTGCATTGCATACAGATTGTAAAGAATGCCAAATACGGGACAAGTTAGTGATGAACTGTCTCTCTGCTTTTTAGAGTATTACAGACTATGTGCCTCTTTTCTGTTTTTATTATTGACCATTACTAGTTTACCGGCATAATGAATTAAGCTATCCAGAGGTATATGACACACGGTATCTCTTTGTCAATGAGTTGCCATGTGATTATTTACTCCTTGCTTAGTTGGATGCATGAAACTGGTTGCTGCTGGAATTTCCAACCAAATTACCGGTTTAATTCAACCAGCAAGGTATAGACCTGTACAGACAAAATACAATTTAAAACCTCTAAAAAGAGAATATGGTCTTAAAATGGTAGAATGAGAATGAGGTATCTTGCAATGGTAGTCAGATGTTCAACCTCCAGAACAAAATTTACTTTGCCTTTATGCACTGTGCAGTGAAGTGGAGTTCTGCTTACATTCTGCTATTCGTTGTATTCTTGATTTAACTGTAAGATTCTATGGTATTAATTGATCTCTACAATGTTGAGTAGTGTCTGCCTATGAAGGACATTCAGAAAATTAATCTGTAACAAGATTTTTAGGTTCGACTTGTGCTAACTTCTTGGATTCTAGGTTTGATACAAGTGTTATCAATACTGTACTGCTGTGTACTAGGGTTCATGAAAGTAGCTCCAAAGAATCTTCAGCACTCAATTGTTTAATCTGACTTGATCTGCATTGGTGCATCTAATTGTTCATGCTTGAACTATGAAGTTCACATCGCCAGGTTGTATTGTTGTGATGCTTACAGAACAGTTCCTACTAATACAAAGTAACAAAGATAGTTCAATTAAATGACAATGGGAGTACAATGTACAGTTATTGCCTCTCAGTCAGGTGTATTCATCAACATAAGTGTGGCTTTCACTTTGAACCTGTATTGTGTTTCTGAAAAGATGAATTCTTCTTTTAATATAATAACTGGTACTCAGTAGTACTGTGCAAAACCTGGTACTCAGTAGTTTAAATAATTTAACCACGGAGAGAGTACTATATGCCGATCTTCTGATAATGGTAAACGAGCTTCTGATTTTTGGGACGGAGGGAGTACGGCAGTTAGGTCTGTCAGAACAACAAACTGAGAATTACAGAAGATCCAGACCAACAAACTGATCATTCACGTTCACCTAGTGAACCAATGTTCAGGACTACAAAAGTTTCAGATTCTCTCCAAGTACTCCTACTTTAAAGCGCAAGAATATCCCCCATTCTTCCCTAATTTATTGGCGTAAAAGACTAATCTGATTTCTCCATCCTCAACAGTTGAAAGAACCAACTAGTAGACCACAAGAGAATGCAATCCGTTGGCCGCTTCAGAAATGCAGAATCCTGAACTGATGAACACAATGGTATCTCACAGGCTAACACCAAGAATTTTCAGGCCGCATCATCACATTGCCAAACCAAGATATTCAGAAACCTAGACTCAAGACCCATGTACTTTGAACCAATTGACACAGATTTACCCAAACAATGGAAAATTTTCAGATTGCAATATTCTCATCTCAACAACCACCAAAAGTTCAGATGAATAACTTTCCAAATGCAGATAGCTATCAGGGCGTAGAAACGAGCATTCATTCATATATTCCATTCCATTCCAACAAGATTTCTCAAGCACCAAACCCATCACACCATCATCCAACCGTTCATCAAAACCTAACCTAACAACCTACAAAGGATGGATATTACTAAGATGGGAGGGGGAAAAGAATCGGATCAAAGAACAGGGAGCAACAAGGTTCTTGATTCCGAGTAGCGGACCCAAGAGGGGATCCTAGAACTCCTGGGAGGCGGATCCGATGTCGGCCTTGTCCTTGCCGCCCTTCTTGGGGAGCAGCGTCTGGTGGATGTTGGGCAGCACGCCGCCGGCGGCGATGGTGACGGCGCCGAGCAGCCTGCTCAGCTCCTCGTCGTTGCGCACCGCCAGCTGGATGTGCCTCGGCACGATCCGGTTCTTCTTGTTGTCCCTCGCCGCGTTCCCCGCCAGCTCCAGCACCTGCGCCCAATCACAAACCCCCCATGAGATTAAACCCAAATCCCCAAGCGGCGCGCGGCGGCGGCGAAGGGGGCGGAAGAGGGAGATGGTGAGGTTACCTCGGCGGCGAGGTACTCGAGGACGGCGGAGAGGTAGACGGGGGCGCCGGCGCCGACGCGCTCGGCGTACTTGCCGGCCTTGAGGTACCTGGCGATGCGGCCGACGGGGAACTGGAGGCCGGCCTTGGACGACCGCGACACCGACTTGGAGCCCTTCGACTTCCCCCTCCCGCCGCCGCCGCCCGCGGAACTCATCTCCTCTACCTGAATCGACGGAAACGGCGCCCTTGTTCGCCTGGTCACTCGCCGGAGAGATCGCCGGAGCAGTCGCCGCGGTGGTGGTGGGAACTACTGGTGTTTCGATGAGGAGAGGAAGGCGAGGCGGCGCGGAGGAGTTATATAGAAGGGACGGAGGCGCGTGATTGGTGGAGGCGTCGGCGCCGCGGATCGATGACGTGGAGGATTCCTGAGCTGTTGGATTGGGAAGGTGTGGGGTTGGAACGGACGGCCGGGATCGCGCGTGGAGGAGGCGAAACATTTCGGGTTCGCGCGGGGGTGGGATTTGGAGGGAATTGGGAATTTTGGAGGGGAGATTAGCGGGGGGAATTCGCTGCACGCGCTCGTCGCCTCGGCGTACGCGTGGAGCGGTGGAGGTGGGGGCCCAGTAGCTGACCTGTGGGCCCAGTTTCTCTACCTCGGCGAGTGAGACCCCACATGTCAGTGTTTAAGGATATGGACCACCTGTCAGCCGGTCCATACGAAAAACGAGAGAGTGAAATTGTGAGGCTGGTGGGCCATTTTGGGCTTTTTGGGCCGAAATTTTGGGATGATTACATTTCATTCCATCGGTACGAAAAACAACAACATAATTACATTTGATGTTTTCTCAAGACAAAAAAAATTGCAAAAGAGATTTACTCTACTTCTATTTTCAATGTTTTGATGCCTGCGCTACCACGCCAGTATATTTGGACCAAGTAAACCTACTATGTCAGTAGAAACCACTTTTTCTAACCACCAAAAAAGTCCAATATAGCAAATTTGTCCCATTTTTTAAGTTATATCAAAAGAGGCGTTATACTTAATTTTGTGGTTGAGGGGTACGATTTGACCAAAGGCAAGAGATAAAGGAGGTAAAATAGATTTATTCCAATTTTCGGATAATTTGGGCTTGTTGGGCCGAAATTTTAGGATACTTCACATTCCATCTCGATACGAAAGACAACAACATAATTACATTTTTAATTTTTTTCTCAAGACAAAAATCCAAAAAAGAGAGACTAAACACATTGTACAAATTTACTCCACCCCACAAACAAGGAAAAAAACTGCAGAATACAGTAAAATAAATTATAAACCGCTATATATATATCCCTTACTTTGAACTCTCTCACTATACCATACCAAACTCACAACAAACAAAGTTAAAAAAAAAACAAAAAATCTGAAAAAAAAAAAAAACTCCATCCATCCACAAATCCACAATTATGAACTGATCACGACGATTTCATCATCATTCAATCACCAACTAAAATCATTTCCCGTTGACGGCCCTGCAGTTCTTCCGGATCTCGCCCTGGTCGCCGGTGAGCACGCCGACGCGGCCCATCTTGCGGACGGCGTTCTTGAACTCCCGGAGGAAGTAGTCCTGGTCGGTGAGGCCGTGGACGAGCGCGGCGGCGCGGCGGTCGGCGAGCAGCGCGGCGTCGGAGGCGAAGAGGCCCCGGCCGAGCTTGAGGTTGACGAAGTAGTGGGCGTCGAACCGGGCGGGGCTCCCGGGGTCCATGGGCACCGCGGTGGCGTTGTTCGACGGCGACCCGCACGCCGCCCGCAGCTGCGCGGCGTAGGCGGCGTTCAGCGACGGGTCGGCCGACGGCGCGGCGGCGCCGGTGAAGTTGAAGAGGCGGGCGCCGAAGAGGTTGCAGTGGCCCACGCCGATGGTGTGCGCCCCTGCGTGCAGGTGCGGCGAATTTGCGGGGTAGAAATTAAATTAGCTCCAGATTTCATATGTAAGTCGAATATGAAGTTTGTAGGTTGAATTGAATTGGTTTAAAATTTTGTATTTTACCAAAAATAAAAAGAATATGATTCACCTATTTGTAAAGTTAGAATTATCCCGCTCCAGGAAATGTCGGATAAGGACTCATACCAAACAGGACCAATATATAATGTTATTTTCGGTTAAAAGCATTTTGTTTTTTTTTCTTATGTACAATTTGATCATATATAGATGTATACCCTCCAATTTTTAATGGAAATTTAAGATTTACCTTTTTTTACCCACGTGTCGTTAACCTTAAATGACCCACGTGTGATTGACACGTGACATTTTTCACAACGTCGTAGAAGTATTTACAAAGTAGCATAAACATGTTTATGGCGTAAAAGAGGTCATTTGTGGTACTTAATTCATCTTAAAATATAAACAAGATCAGTATTAAAATATTAAACACTTTTAAATAGAGTACTAATTGTTTTATCAACCATCATTTATTCGATTTTCTTCTCATATTTTCCCAACTTTATCTCATATACTAATGAGTATCCTAGTTTTTTCTACTTGCATTTAATTTTTACTAAAATCTATAAAAATGTTTATATTTTGGAAAATGAGAGTGAGTTGTTTTTGCTATTTCGTAGGATTGTGGTCGTTGTGCAAACAGAGATCTACATAGGGCGCTGCTAGGCCCCTGGGTGCTAATTAAATTAACACTTCTGATCATACTTATCATATAGTACAGTGCCAGCAACTAAATTAAGCAAGTCCAATGCAAGGTAGCTATGATTGACACCCCAACATCACACATTTTCGCATGGTCCACTTAATTCAGCTATAGCTGTTCATCTATCATCCGCTATATATTTCCAGCGCATGCATGAATTGCACACACTGCTGATTGATGAGCAAATCCAACATTATTCACATCAAAGTACAATCCAAAAACAGTGAGATCCTATCCTACACTGGGCTAACTTAATCAAAGCAGGCATTTGGAATTTGGCACTTGGGATGGAGTGGTACACAGCACTGTTCGGCACTTAACTGAAACCACTCAATGATGAACTAGCTGATGGGCACCATTGAACAACACACAGATAATGGAACCCAATCTATCTTGCTCTAGTGCCGTACAGGTGCTTGGATACTCTCTTTGGATATGGATGTTAGTTAGAAGTGGCAGCTTGCATATGTATGCAGCTAGCTACTATTCAGTGGTAGTTGTTAGTTGTTAGCTAAGATAGTATAGGAGTATCTGAGTTTCTAACAACCACTACAATGCAAGCAGAGAGGAGATAGATAGATATAGAGAGATGCAAGCTTAATTGGTAAGTTGGTAGACTGCACAACTGTAACACACTGCATGCAGATTGCTAGAATTGGCAGGACCATCCGTGTTTTTGGTGATTTGGTTGTTAGTAGTACTAGTACTTTGATTGTTAGGATCACTGGATCATCAGTGTGATATATATGATGCCTGGTGAGACATTAGCCACTTAATTCCTTGGTGGCAGCCCTGCCTGATTGCTGGTTGCTTGAGCTAACGCAACACAGCACATGGCAGGCACGATGCATGTTGAATTGGTATGACTGGATGGATCATACGGTGTTCAATTAGGATTCGATTAGATCATGAGGTGACAAATCATGCATGATGCCAATGGTCTTGTCAGGAAAGGGAAAAATCTTATCGACGTTATTATTTATGCTCCTTATATATAGTTCCTAGCTTATGTACATGGCGGATGTTCTGTTTTTTCTCTCTCTGTGTTTGACAAACTGAACTTGGTGTTCGCCACCGATGATGTGGAGCTGGAACGGTGCCTAACAATCCTTAATTTCACCTCTTGTAAAGTTGGAGTACAACCATACGTATGATCCGTATACCGTATACGGTATAAGGTTTTAGCTCCATTCAGAAATAAAGTAGAATCGGTTAGAGTACTTTCACAAAATCATCTAGAGAGATGAAGCTGAATTTAATCTACTTCACAATTTCACTCAATACCCAACTACTTAGAGTTAAGGGCCTGCCAAAACTTGAAGCACAACCAAATAATTTTAGGACTCACAAAATAAACTAAATAGGACGAGTTAGGCTTAGGTAATTCTACAAAAGTTAAATTTAGAAGCTGTAGTGAACGAGAACTAACAAAGTTATAACTAGAAGAGTCGTTCTATACTAGCTTCATTCCTGGCAAAGCTTATCAGAAACGGACGGCTCTCGTCGAGAGCTGGTAGACGGGCGCCGGTAATCAAGGGCGGCCGGTCCTTGCGTTGCACCGACACGTGCATGCATCTCATGTGTGTAGCACCACATGCATGCACAGATACGCGTGCGCGTGTGGCGGTTGCACCGTCACTTTCGCTGCTACACTTGGCCGCCTCCATGCTGGGTCTCGATCGTCATCATCATTCATTCATTCACACCCATACCGATACGGTCATATGTATACCCGGTATATCTCTCTCTACATCACTGTTAACTAGTACTCTCTCTTTTTTTATATTATAAATCGTTTAATCATTTTTTAATTAAAATTTATTAAGTTTGATTAAATTTATAGTAAAATTTAGCAATATTTAAAATATTAAATTAGTTTTATTAAATCTACGGTGAATATATCTTAATAATATATTTGTTTTGCATTGAATATACTGCTATATTTTTTTTTATAAATTTATCAAACTAAAATAAGTTTGACTATGACTTATAACATGAAACAAATGGAATATTTCTCCCGTCCTCCCTCACCTTTAAAAAAACCGCTCCAGAAAACCCAAAAAAAAAACGTCATAGAAAAATTGAATTGCACTTTTATCTACTAATATTGCCAAGAACTGGTTATAAAAGGCGTTGATGAATCATATTTTTATCTATCGATCACGTTATAACGTACGAACATGTGTGTGTGTGTGTGTATATATATATATATATATATATATATATATATATATATAGTATGAGTACTCCCTCCATACTCATAAAGAAAGTCGTTTAGGACAATATTTAAGTCAAACCTTGAGAATATAAATCATTAATAACTCTCAAGTTGTTGAGTTTGAATATGTAAAAATTATATGAACTAGGAAGGTGGCCCGCGCGTATGCGCGGGCACTTATATTATTGAAAGGTAAGATTTTTATTGTTTGTTCAAAGATTTTGTCTCATAGATTAAGGGAAAACTAAAGTTCGGATAATGTAATTTTATAATAATTTAAGGTTTCTATTTTTCTTAAAGTATCTTAAAAATCCATTCACAAATTTTTAAGTAGGAGATGGATTAAGTTCTTACGACTTTTGAATCATGTTATTTTCTCGAGTAAATAATAAACTATATATTGCTTGTAGTATGGCTACAAATTAAAAATGTGAGAGCAAGATACTCAAAATTCTTGTGATTAAATCGTCTCATGAAGGCGCATGATATATTAAGAAAGAGAGGGAAGCGTATACATGAAGAAAAGAAGAAAGGGAAAAATGATAAAAGGGAGGGGAAGCATAGGTACCCACGCGTACGTAGGTGCGTATCGAAGGTGGAGATGTGGGACCTTGTAGTATTTAGTTTCTTCTAAGATCAATTTAATCTAATGGTTTATAATATTGAACCCACCGATTTAAGTGAAAATCAAGTAATAGATAATTTGCTTTTTTTCTTAGAATTTCTAATATGTTCTCTAATTTATTAGAGCACCAAGTGCTAGCTTGAGGGTATTTGAAATTTTAATGGACTTACCACATGTAATGAGAATATTAACATGTAATATATATGTATGGGATATATGTTAATATTCATTCTAGCTTTGTCCATGTTTATATACATGTAGAGAGAAATTAAATATGTTGCTAGCAAACCATTAGATGTCTAATTAATAGCAAATAATTTTGACACATATTTGCAATTGTTCATAGTAGCTCTTAAGATTCATGTTACCACTTTGATTATTCGTTGATCACCATGATTCGCACGAAAAAAAATATGTACTACTTAGGGTTTAGGACAACTGAAATTGATGAATTATCTGATTTATGTGATAGCTATTTGAGATTATAAACAAATGAATTAACTTCTAAATAGTTAAAAAGTCGTTTAAGAAAAGCACCATTTATAAACTTGGAAAAGCGTGGAGCGTGCAAACGAAAATGCAAAAGATGGAATCAATAAAAAAAATAGGGCCTTAAAACTCCCTTATTACTCTTATCCTAGTACGAATTCTATTAATATGTGTTAATATTATGCTGAAAATAGGGAGGAGATTGGAGAGGAATGAATAGCATACAACTCGAGCCAGAGATGGGTTGGCAGTGTAACAGTGTTATGCACATGTGATTGGAGAGGGAGGTGGAGGGGACATTGTTTTTCTAATGTTTCTAAATAATGTAGGTGAGAACTCGTTGTTTTCTCATTCTAAAAATCTTTAACAGTTGATATATATGTGGTGGCTTAAGATTTTTTATTAACAAAAGCGGTAGCGTTGCAGCGATCGTGATCACCTAAGATGCCTCAGACACGATGCTTTGTCACACGTGCGAAAGGCAAAGGTGTAGATGTGCATTGTGCAGCGGACCAAAAAGAGAACTTTAGACACTTTAGTTATTAACAATAGATATGTTGATTTAAATAATGGGTCCACTGGTTCTAGTGTAAATGTAAATTAGTTAATATATATTTTAAATTGTTAATTTAATGGGTACACAATATGATGGTGTAGAATTTATTTTAAAATAGTACATTATTTGAGAATAATAGTCCAAATTAATAAAAAAAAAGATCCCATGATTTAAATAATGGGTCCATCTGTTTAAGTGCACGTATAATTAGTTGATATAGATCTTAAATTATTTATTTGATAAGTACATATTATAATTGTGTAAACTTTATTTTAAAATAGCGTATTATTTGAAAATAATAGTACAAATTAATGAGTACACCAGTTTAATTGGAAATTATATTGATTTAATGGGTAAATATATAATGGTGTAAATTTTATTTTCAAAGATTGTAGAGCTAATTTAGTTAACTGTGTTTATAAAGAATTATATGATGGTATATTCTTTGTTTGTAAATTATGTTTATTTAGAATATATATATATATATCAATTATATAAATGGAAAAAAGAAGAGAGAAAAAGGAAGAAATAATTGGAGGGAGGCGTACATACTACATACCAAAATAATTGGAAGGAGGCGTACGTACTGCATACCCATGTACGTACGTGAGTTAGGTGGGACCCATAGTATTTGGTTTATTTTAGGATCAATTTTATCTAACGGTGTATAATATTGGACCCACCAATTTAAGTGAAAATCAAGGGGTAGATGTTTTGCTTTTTTCTTAGAATTTACAGGATTTTCTCTAATTTATTAGAGCGCCATGTGGTAACTTGAGAGCGTTTGTAGGAAGTTTAATGGACTTTTAGTATATAAAGATAGATATATTTGTATTGAAAAATACTTTCATAAAAGTATACATATATCACTTCTTAATAAATATTTTTATAGAAATAAGAAGTCAAAGTTGTATTTTGGAGACCGTGTCGCTGTCAAAAACGATTTCCTTTACGAGTACGGAGGGAGTATATATATATACTCCTAAATACAAACGATGTCACCAACGAACGAACGCGTATGTATTTAGAGTAGCATGCGGTCCACAACGACGGTCGCCGTCTTTCCTGGGGCGCGGCCGGGCGTGTGGTACGAGAGTACGACACACTTGGATGGGGATCGGTACATGGCACCCAATGCAAAGCTAGCTTAGAGCAAGTATAATAGTGAGCTATAAGCCTACTATAAGTTTAGATGGAGGAGAGAGGTAGTGAAAAATTAAGGATGTTGGCTCTCATGCAAGAGCTACCTTATCACAAGCTCCAAGACAAATGCATTAAATGTATAAGTGAGAGATAGAGAGAGGAGAAGAAAATTGTAGCCAACCTTATAGCTAATCTATTATATATGTTGACTTTAATATAGGCTAATAATAGAAAGTGGGCTCTATTATTATCCTTGCTCTTAGGGCGCCGCAGATGCGCTCGATCGATCGCAACAAACATGTGGACATGCAACGCACGCGCATGCATGCATTCCAGGAGTCAGGAGATCGATCCTCCTGAGGGCATGTACAACTGTTCTCTATTAGCGTTGCTAATTAGAAATACTTATTGACATGGAAGAAAGAGAAAAAAAAGAGACAAAACATCATTGTTATGCATAACGACGGCTTAACAACGACTCTTACTCACTATAATATGGAAATAGGGTTGCATGAGGGTAAAAGAATGAAAAGAATATCAACAAAAAGAATATTTTTGAGTTAATGATTAGAGCATTTGTCGTCTCAACTATTGTACAGACATGGTCTCTAAATATTTTTCTATTGCTTAAGAAACCATATTCACCTCTACTATTGAACATGCGCTGATTATGATCAATATTTTGAAGCTGATTTCTCTCCATACTCTCTCCTAAAAAAAAGTCTAGAACTAGATGTAGCATATTCTATCACTACGAATCTAGATATCCAGATTTATTGTAATATAATACGTCACATTCAGTACTAAATTGATTTTTTATGAGACGGAAGGAGTATATCACATTTTCTTAATTAACCTCTACGCCTCAAACAGCACGATCCTCATTTGAACGGGGATACCCCTAACCGCTGTTCTACGACATCAACGTACACTTCTCGTTTAATGAGGGTATTATAGTTTTTCTTTCTTTGTTGGAAGTGATCCTTTCGAATCAAAGGGTCTTTTAAGGAATTTTGGAGCAATTCAATCCATGAAATTATTTATATATATGTACGTAGTTCACTTGATCAAAGCAAATAACTATTCACGTATCCTATGAAATTGTTTTGGATTGGTTAAAAACTTTTGACACGAGGTCTAACCTCTGGTAAAAAAACATATTATTTGAGGTGTTATGGAATTCTAATGTTTCCTTTTTCTATTCCTTTTTTAAATCCCATATTCAGAGGAACGGTTTTAATTTGTTCTTGGTTATATTTTGGATAGAGAGAGTAGTTTACCGGTTCACTGCCATTTATAACCAGTTCTTGGCAATATTTAGGGATTTGGAGATTTAATATAATCTAGACTTTAGAGAGTTGTTCTGAAGGTTCAATGTAGGATCCACCACACAAATACCAAACAGGAAAAAGGTATACAAACATGTGTAGAATCACTCATTGTACTAAGATGACCCCACTTAGAATAAAATAAGGCCATCTTAGTGACTCCCCTTTGTCTTGTTCTTTCCTTCCATTCCATTCCATCTGACATCTGATAGGTGGCCCCCGCATTTTTCAACAAACCGGTGCTTAGTTCCATAAGCGGTGATAGCACGGTTAAATTTTAAAAATTGATCTAAAAAAATTGTTAACTTTGATCGGTGTCCTGGTCCGTTTGAGTAGTTTTTCCGGATTTGCCAGGTATAACTTTACTTATTTTTTTATAAAAAAATAACTCATTGTTAATTTGTTTAAATTTGTTGTTTTTCAGCCTGACTTTTCATAGTCAATGGACAAAACTTTGCATATTTCCTCCATTCTATAATATAAAATTTTACCATTTAAATTTATCCTAAAATATAAAAGACTTCAAAATTTCGATGTAGTAGTATTTTTTTCTTTAACTAATCACTTTTGTACTAACTTATTCCTTTTCTACCATTTTTTTACTAGTTTGTTCTCTGTCAATCTATTATATTTTATACTACTTTATTTTCTCACATAGCATATCATTTATATTATAAAACGGAGGGAGTAACGAATAAACTAAATTTGCGCGGTTATGTTTTCCTTAAAACCTTTTACTCCAACTCAAGTATAAATTATTTTCTCTTGGCTTGATGACACGATTACTGTGGTCTGTGGGAGGGAAAGTGTGTTACCTGAGAGGATGACGAGGTCCTTGACGTCGAGGCCCTTGCCGGCGAAGTTGGACTCCAGCGTCGTGAAGTTGTCCGACGGCGCCGGCAGGTTCGCCAGCGCCTCCGACGCCAGCGACACCACGCCGTCGCGCCGCCCCAGCTGCACGTCCCACAGGTCCCTCCCAAACTGCACGCATGGCGAAAACGCGTCAACAATGCTCGCCGGCGTCGGCGCCGGAGATGACAGGGAATAGTGGCTTGGCTGACCTGGTAGGAGACGGCGTCCCTGGCGGCGAGCGCGACGATGTCGGCGCAGGAGACGACGCCGGGGCATACGGCCTCCAGGACGGCCTTGGCGGTGTCGATCACGTCGTACCCGCCCAGCGACCCGTTCGGCGCCGCGTCCTTCTCCGCCGCCGCCGCCGCGCCGCTCCCGGCCACCGTGTCGATCAGCACCGACGCGTCGCACCCCTGCACCCACCAACACACAACCGTCAGCGAAGCGAGCGGCGCCATGAACGGCGGCGAACACCTAACGCGTCGTACGTAACGTACCCTGACGAAGCAGTCGTGGAAGAAGAGGCGGAGCAGCTTGGCGGGGAGCGCGGCGGGGTCGGCGGCGACGCGCGCCGTCACGATGTCGCGCACCACCGCCTCCGCCGCCGGGCACACGTGCCGGTAGTAGTGTGCCTTGAGCGGCCCCGCCGAAGCGCTCGCTCCCCCCACCACAACGCCGACAAACACAACCACCACCAGGACCACCGGCATCGTCGTCACCGCCGGCGACGGCCGCCGTCTCACCATGGCCGCCATTGCACCCACCTCGATCTCTCTCTCAATAGCTAGCTACGTTTAGGGTGGTGGTTGTGAGTGGCCCGTGACTGGTTTCGCAGCAGCGAGAGTGAAGTGTGTGCAGGTTGGGCGTTGGGATAATAGAATCTGAAATAGTAGAGTATAGGAGCTAACAACAATGAGCTATGGCTAATGTGGAGGGCGTCCGGTTGGCCCTTATTAAAGGCCAGTGTGTGTATGTAGAGAGGCAGGCATCTTTCTGATGTGAGTGCCAAGTGGCCACAAGCCCACAATAGCTCATACACAACACCTTTTGAATATCCTAAAAATGAATATTAAGTGTTTCACGCAAAATAAGGTGGTAATAACGTGTTATTAATTGAGTTTTAATTAATAAAAACTTAAAAAATGGATAAATCTGATATTTTAGAGTAACATTCATATAGAAAGTTTTCGCACAAGACGCACAATTTAGCGTTTTAAAAAGCATGCAATTTTAATCTAAAATTTAATCCACCCCTTTCGTTACATTCGAACAGGGCCTAAGTGAAAATTTGGTCTCGTTATTGCATATGCTTTAAGATTCGTGCCGAATGAATTATCCTCCTTTACCGCGGCTATGTGTGAAGAGGTTTCCTGCTTTAATTTTGGTATGCACCACTCGATATATCTTAAGGGGAAATTAACGAATTGCATGTTAACCTTGGGACCTCGATCTCCAACATTCATGCTTCATCTGTCTCCGACGAACTTTGGCTGACAGAGGATCTGCGGATTAGGATTTCGAGGTTAGGGGTGGGGGATGATGGGCGTTTGGAGGCAAGGAGGTCATAGGTGTTTTCTAGTTTAGAGGGATGATAGGGGCGACAGTGGCCCGTTGTCCGTCGCTTTGGCTCTACCGCTGGAAGAGAAGTGTTTGTATTTTAATATTGTTTTTCTTGTACTTTGCTTTTCCAAAATTTTGACACCACTTATCATAATTACCGTATGTTTGCAATTTTTTTTGGGGTCTTTTAGCCCTAAATTACTCATTTACCCTCATGAAGGCCCTTCCATTTGCCCCTACCCTGGCAAAGCCCAAATTGTGCATGCCACTGCTGATATAAAGACGTTAATATCTTTGACCAGCGTTGACCATATGATCAGGAGAGGGACAAATCACCCATCAACACTCAACAATCATGCAACTCTCTTTTCTTTTTCCCCCAATCAGAACTGATCTTAAAGTAACCACCAACATCAAACGTGTGATTACGGATTAATCCGGCTAGGAAAAAGATAGATCAATTGCCCCTTTTGGATGATGGTGATAGTGAGTTGTAATCAGAGCATCGTGAAAACAGGATTGTTTATATGCAGATGGTTTGCAAGACTTAAAACATAATTAGGCATTACTAGGTTAGATGGTAGTCGATTGTTCACAGTTGGTGATGGATCAATTGGTTGGGTCAAATCAGGTCATTTTCTTGCCCCCTAGCTGCTGCAGAAAATGCAGATGCTTCCACAGGGATGTGATTAATATTATGCAGTTGTTTCAGGTTTTTGTCACCATATCCAGCAATTGCATGGAAGTGGACTTGCTACCACACGTACTAAGGGTTATCTTTAAAAAAAGAAGGGAAAAAAAGCTTTTTCCAGGATAAAAGTAAAAATATAGTATTTTTAAAGAAAATAAATCCTATAAAGATTCCTAATTGTTCCTTTGTAGCAAAACGAATGGGTCCTTACGAATTCTACATTTCTTATGAAATGGTTTAATCCACAAGATTTTTGGAGGAATCTCAATTAGCACGAGGCAGAATCATGTTCGAAGAGAAATCCCTGTGGGCAAATTTCTGTAAGGTACAATGATCACTATAAGGCTATAATAATTAAGCTTGTATAAAATTCAGATGAGATTCAATTCGTACAAATGCAAGATACAATTGGTCTGAATATTGATTAAGGTTGAGGAGCCATTGCTGTCTGTACGTTGAAAAGATGGTTCAGAGGTATTTACCTACCATCAATGATTCAAAATATACGATTATTCCAATTAATCAAGGCCATCTAAGTTTGGTTATTTTTCGCCTGCTTTTGCCCACTGAACAACATGTGTGCCTGTGGAACAACTCAAAAGAGGATAATTAAGAACATAATTTTTTTTTGGGTGCAACAAATAATACATACGCAGCGACAAAAAACTCTGCTCCCAAACCACTCTGAATAATTGCTCTGTCAAGCAAATCTATGGGCTCTGTTCCAAAGTATACATGCAGAGATATTTGAGATTAAGGTCTGTTAACTAATTCAGTAATAATGTAATAGGAGAGAAATTAATTAAGCTAGAAATGTAGTGACAAGAGGCTAACTGTCTCTACACGTATGGTTGATCTGATTCCGTAGTCGTCATCAGCAAATCAATGTCGATTGCTTAATTATCGATAAGTGAGTATTATCTTATTCTCTTAATTTTGTGGTTGAAACGACAAGATCACCCTTGATTTTCCAACAGTGTGTAACAATACTGTAGTACGTGCAGTAGCAATCATTCGATTTGGGCATCCACGGATTATCGATCGTAATCAGTCGGTCGATCAATCACCCAAACATTATAATTTCTCTGGTTCACTTTAAACTCTTGTATCAGAATTGTGACTTGCATGGGAGAGGGATGAAAGACGTGGCGGCACTAATCTACGCGGCTTCTAAGAAAAAGAAAGAACGCTCCAATATGCATTGTGATCAGACTTACCAGCGGGCACGGGCTGGACAACGGAAGTGATCGATAAGCTTATCACGGTCTGGAGTGCGTCCCAGACAATAGAGCTGTCAGAGATAAAATAACGAGAACCTCAATAGCCTCGGAGAATATACATCGACGTTACTCAATAGCCTCAAAAGAATATATATCAGCGTCGGTCTATAATGCGTAACTCAGCACAACGATCACTAACTTTAACAACCTAATCCGTAAACCCTAGACTCCGCGCGAATGTAAAACTTTCGCCTCGCTGGTCATTCAAAATAGAGCCTAGACTCCTAACAAACTAGCAATCAAGGGACGACCAAACGGCTCCACCTATCTCTTATGTCGTTGGGTCCAGGAGACGACCCTTAACCTCTTCCCGGGCTACCACTACACAGGAAGAATATGGGCAGCTCTAGGAAAATGTGCGGTGTGCAACAATCTACACCCAAACCAGTGGCAGTAATCGTCGACAGTACTACAATGGTAGGAGTTAATCATAAGCGTAAAAGAGGCACCTAAAAAGACCCTTCGCTCCCTAACGTTGTTGATCGTCTGGGTGATATGAAACAAAAGAAGCCGCAGAACTTTTCAACAGAAGAAGCTTTCGTTGGAGTGGCTTGCTGGCAAAAATCAAAGTGAAGGTGATCATCTGAGAGATATGAAACGAAAGAAACCGCAGATTAATCTTTCAACGGAAGAAGCTTTTGTTAAGCGGCTTGCTGGTAAAATTTAAAGTGGAGGCCAAGACATGAGCCTTAGCTGGCGCGAGACTTGGGGCCAAAGGTCCTGTGTTTTTCAGTTTTACACTGTAGAGTTTACACCTTCACTATTATATGAAATTAGCAGCCCACTGATTCGTTAAAAAAAAGAATTGTGACTTTTTAGATACTCAATAATAAAGAAAATACGTGGAGGAACAGTACGTGCAATAAGGTGTACATGCTAATTATAAGCAGGGATACAAAGTAGTAGTACTAGTTGCTTATAAACAAGATTAATATATTTAAGCAGAAACTAAAGCGCATCCTGCGTGATTATTTAACTCCGAGAAGTAGCAGAAGCTCAGGTAATCAGCAAGAGCTGGATTGATCAGAGAGAAAAGATTCAGAGGCGCTCCAGCTGCGGGTTGTACACGTCCGCGGGCTGCGGCACCTGCTCGTGCGGCAGCGGCCTCGCCGTCGCCGGCGCCGCCTTCCCCTCCTCCCCCCTCCTCACCGGCGGCGCGATCACGCCCTCGCCGTAAGCTCTCTGCCCTGCCGCTGATCGTCCCTCCTCCCTCTTCTTCTCCTCCTCTTTCGCCACCACCGGCGTCGTTGTCCCGCCGTCGACGCCGCTGGAAGTCTCGAGTGGGCTACCGCCGGCAGCGGCGGGGCGGCGCCGTGGTCGTGGTTGGCCGGCGTCTCCATGTCCAATGGCGCGCGTGTTGGTCGTGGAGGCAGACGAGAAGACTCCAGGAGAGGGCTTGAGCTGTCTGTTGTTCCTGGCTCACGGCTACTCGTCGCGGCTGGGCTGCCTCGGTATGTGCGCCACGTGTCCGTCAACGTGGCAGGATACACACGCCACGTGGAGAGATAACAATGTTTCTGACTTCCGATGAGGTGACACGCTACACGTAGTGATGTAAACGGACCAACCCGCGAATCTACTTACATATGTCAAATAAGTGATAACTCACATGATTTCATATTCTTGTCTGACTTATCGTATTTAGTGATGTAAGTGGGTCAATCCATAAACCTATTTACAGATAAATTAGTTTTACAGATCAAATTAGTAGGTAAACCCTAACTTAGCTTATAAGCGACTTTGTTGGTTGGTCCGCTTGTATCCCTAGCTGGCTAGCTACATGTCATAAAGGCCCATATGACTTGGGCCGAAAGCGTCGATGGGCGGGACCTGAACCGGGAGAGCTGTGGATGGCACAGACCAGTGATGGGGTTTGTTGGGCTGAAATGAAATGAGGCCGACAGTCTTGTCTGAGTTCAATGTACCGTATTGGTTGGGCCACGTTAGATGATTGCATATGCTGCTTCTTCAATCTCTTGCAGATTGGCACATTTTTCCTTCCTTGGTTTAGATTGTTCAGGTCTTGTATAGTCTTTTTTCTGAATAAATTTTCGCATTTGCTTCACGTAAGTTACAACCACTTACTCCCTCTTGACGCTGTTGACTTTTTTAAACATGTTTGGCCATTCGTTTTATTTAAAAATTTTAAGTAATTATTAATTCTTTTCCAACCATTTGATTCATTGTTAAATATATTTTTATATATACATATAGTTTTACATATTTCACAAAAGTTTTTGAACAAGACAAATGGTCAAACATGTTTAAAAAAGTCAATGGCATCAAACATTTAGGGAAAGAGATAGTATTACAATATTCTGTCAAAAAGAGCAAACAATCAGGCAACATCATGGCGTTGTATACTCCTGAGCAAGCAAATCTTATAGCAGCTTGCTAGCTCTTACTCCCGTCACATACTCCGTGGAGGCCACTC